AGCCTCAGATGCTGTAAATCCCTGCACCTCTGCTAAATCACCATTCCCATGTATTAGGGAGTGCTGGAGAATTACAATCATGGTGTTTTGATTTATTCACAGTTGGGTGCAGATGGCTCAAAGCAACTGCCAGAAAGGCTGCAGTCTTCTTCCTCCACGTTTCCGTACTGAATTAATAAAAAATACTAACTTCTGTTTAAATTCCAAGGTTGGTACATTTCTTATCTATTCTAATATTGTGTTTTGTTCTATAATGAGCCTTAGGAAATATAGCCCTTTGTAACTTTTTCTGTAAATGCCTGTCAGTCTAGAAACATATTTTGACCTGCTCTACCTTTACATTTTAGCCATGTTCATTTCAATCTCATCAGAATTTTACAGGAAAACTGTCTCATAGAAAAGAAATCTTATTTTCAAGCTTCTAAACAAATAAATTACAAAATCACAGTTTAAATAACCTGATTTGATAATTGTAAAAAAGAATTAACTACAGTACGTGCTTTTAAATATCTGGCTCAAATTTGATGACTTAAAACTTTATCTACTTGGAAGTTTAAATTTGATAAGATTCCTGTATAAAAATTCCTTCCAGAATAGTTAATCCTCTAAATTCATTATTGAGGTTTCCTTATTTGGTGCTGCTAATATAGCCCCTTAACCAGAGAAACCTCATTAACAGCTTTATAGCTTTTTGGAAGTAGCCTCTTGATTCAAATATTTTTCGGGAAATGTATGAAACAAGATCTCTTGTTTCACTTGAGTTCTCTGGATAAAATAAACAAAGAGCTAAACAATGGGTGTACACTACATTTCCTGTTTTTGATAAATTCATCATAGAGATACACATGAAAACACTGAATTTACTTTAAAACAATTATTATTGATCAAGTTAGCTACCAATTTACAAAATGTTAAGTAGTAACTACTGGGTAAATTTTTAATAAATAAGAGTCGTTTGTGGGGCATTTAGTTTTTCTTTTCAATTTGAAATGATTTACTTGTTTTAAAAAAATAAACAATTTATATCAAGCTGTGCAACTATACTTCCATGTTATGAATCTATTTTAAGAATAAACCATTTCTCTTAGATTGAATCTCTTCACAACACACAGATTTTCTTGATTTACTTTTTAGAATTCTAGGTGCAAATGTTCCTAAGATATACACCAGATTCCAAAATGTTAACTTGGGCAGTGTATTATGAAGAACTTTTCAGAGATTCATGATTTTGAAATATACACTTTCAACAGCTGCTTCAGATGACAGCTAAACTATAAGAGTGGATGGTATCAATAAAAGGTCCAAAAAAAAAGAAAAGCACCACTTTATATTTGTAATAAAACTGGAGACAGTGTCTAGTTAACATTTACCACAGTCAGGAAAATAAACAGATGTTCAAGTCTTTGTTGCATGGCAACATTTAGAACCATCCAAGCTTCCTATTAGCAACTGTAAACCTGAAAGAAAACTCAGTTTACTTTTCTCTTGGCATTTTAAATGGAAAACCTATTGCATCTTCTAATGCAGACAGTTTGCTAATTAACAACAAAATATTTGACTGCTATGAATTGATTCATGAATAAATAGAGTCCTAATTAAGTGGAAAAATTCCATTTTCAGAACAATATGGCAGATTTTGACTATCCCTCAATATTCTGATCCCTACTTGCATGGATGGTAATTGCATGCACATTTTTGTGCGCACAATTATTAAAGCTTGGACCTTAAATAGATTTTCTGCTTGCACTTTTATGTTCTATTACTCAACTATTTTAAGACCGCTTGATAAATGAGTGTATGTCTACCTATTTACTTACTTAGGTGAGGGGAGATACTCCAGCATTTATGAGTCTACTACTCTAAAATTAAGCTACTGAGGGTATATCTAATGGAAAAAGCTATTTTTCAAACTCTGATTTGCATGGCTTCCCCCGTCCACATCCCAAGTCCTGTTGTGTTTTCATTATTTATTGAAAATAGTTGATAGTACTGTCAAATTAGTAGGATTAACCTACTTTAAAGGAAATTAGACCCCATTTTCATGCCCAGATCATTAACACCTATTTATTATTTCAGCTTCCCTCATATGCTACAAAATGGCCAGTTCCCTGTGGATAATACAGATCCATGCTTATCTTAGCCGCTGTAGCATCCAAAATAGGAATATAGGCCACTACTAGAAGCCAACGTACTGGATGAGATGAAGCTTTGAACCTGGATAGCTATCCCAGTGATTAAATTCTGCACAAAAGTGTGTTTCTCCTTCCCCTCCCCTCCCCTGCCCAGTATCTACCTCTTCACAGTGTGTGTGAATTTAGTAGTTATGGAAGTGAGGGACATATTTGGGGGAAGAGAGGAATTTTGCAAGCTCCATGCAAGTCTGCCACTTAGCCTCAGTTTAGATATAAAATAATCCCGGGTAACTCTGTGCAATTCTCTGAATTTCTCAGATGGGTGGATTATTGCTCTCATATATGGATGACTTAAGATACACTATGAATTCAGGAGTTCAAAAGTGAAAAGCTAGTGCACTGAATCACTGTCCATGCAGTCCTCTGCTTTCTATGGGTCACTCTGTGCTCTTACTGACAGCTCACTGCTCTTTCATTGCAATGCCTAGGTAAAATGGGATCTCAGAAATGTTAGCTACTCCTTTGTGCAAGCAGGTCTATAGTGCGTTAAGCAAACAAAGTAATTCCTGAAAAATTCCACACTGACTTCACTAGGCATCAGGCATCAGGCTGCAGGCTCAATCTCATAGTCTATACCTCCCAGCAGAGCTTTCTCTCTGCCCCCCGCTCGCATGTACATAAGCACCTTCTCACCTGTAAAAGGCCAGGGTTGAGTTTTCAATGGCAATAAGCTGGGAAGAAGGAAAACAGAAAAGAAAATTCCCCTTGCAGCACATCAGTCTATGACTTGGAGGAAAATAAATTCCTTTAGAGCAACCAAAAGAGGATTTTCAAAAGTGGAAGAGGGAAATTACTATCAAAGGAAAAATACACTGTGCTTACGTATAAATCTTAATAAAAACTTAAGTGCAAACCACCTTTAGCTAACACATTTTTTTTTAAAGGAAAGGTAAAAAGGAATAGGCTGATAGTTTTCCCTTCCCACCCCCTCCACTTCCTGCCTCCAGCCATTTTCTCACTGATCTAAAACTAGCCATGGGAAGATTTGGCTGTATTAGTTCAGGCCTGTGTAAGTGTAACACCAACAGACCCCTGTTGGGGGCAGGCAGGATCAAACCTGGGGCCTCTGGAACTTAGTGCATGAGCCTCTACCGCATGAGCTAAAAGCCAACTGGTCTGTTAGCTAAGGCTGTAGAGCAAATTCATTTTTTCTCTCTCCCTGTTAGTGGTCTCTAAGTGCTACTAGATGGGACAGAACACCAGACCCGGGGGTGTGTGGGTTACATAAGGATAAACAAGGGAAGGGCAATACAAGAAAAAAAAGTCTGTATTGGGCATTACATTGTGTTGGATAATGATCTGCCAATTATTCATCCTTAAAGCTTCTCCATATCTGGTTTCTCTTTCTGAGCCAAGCCCAAATGCAAGGATATTGCAGGGAAATGAGTATTGTTGTCTATCCAACACTGCGCTTTGCCTGAACTCTATCATCACTTGAGTGATGTACCTCTGCGAGTGCCGCTCTAGAGCTATCCTCTCAAGTGCACTGAAGATGACGCCTCAGAGTCCTCACAAACATTCCCATTATTCCTCACCGTGGTACTTTTAGACATGGCACAGAAAATCCTTTCAGCGTAAAAATTGCTCACCGCAGACAAGAAAGAGGTATAAGCAGTACCTAGCGAAAAGATGCACAAAAAGACCTGTCCTCCCCTGTGGTTATCTTAAATAAATAGAACAAGACATCCAAACTATCGAGTTACATTAAATGGTGGTCTTTATGACATCTGCCCTGCCCATCTTGCATTGTTTAGATAGCCCTGCATGGCCTTCTGTTATTCCAAGAGGTTTTTTTTTTTAAACTCTACCAACCTGGAACTGCCTACTTTACATAAAAGCAACAAAGAGTCCGGTGGCACCTTATAGACTAACAGATGTATTGGAGCATAAGCTTTCATGGGTGACGAAGTGGGTATTCACCCACGAAAGCTTATGCTCCAATACATCTGTTAGTCTACAAGGTGACAGGACTCTTTGTTGCTTTTTACAGATCCAGACTAAACACAGCTACCCCTCTGATACTTTAGATAAAGCTTTTTTCAGGCTAGTTTCCCCCAACATTCCCCCAACCCTCGTTTTTGTAGGTTTGAGAGAGGAAGGCAGTGACAGGCAGCTCCAAGTAACATGCAGATCAACAATGGAACGCTCACACCTTTTACAGCATGTAATGTATCTGTATGTTCTCCAGGAACACCACAAAGTACAGCTAAGCAGGGCAGAAACAAATTCCACACTGAAGTAATAATACGACCCCGATAAGGTTAACTTTGTAAATGGCATGAGAGACAGGTGCCAAATGCAGCATCTACAGCTCTAAGAAATTTTTTTCTTTAGTTTATTAATCTATAGACATCTATTCTTCAGTGCTTGCCAGCACCTCCCATATTACTTTCTGTACCGGCAGGATTCAATTATAGCTGTATCTTCATTATGTAATGTTCATTTTATGTTCTTAAACATAATTCCCTCTCAACCTGAGTTTAAGTCACTGAAGCTAGTCACTCCCTCCCCTGATTTTCACATTATAAACACCCCCACTCCAGAGTCAATATAATTTGTTACAGCAGCATGCTATATCCCTGTCATTCTCCTAAGCAATAGGAAAATATAATTGCAAGTCACTTTAATTAAACATTTCAAACAGCAGAAATATGAAGGAAATAGGGCATCCCTCTTTTGCTTTTCCTCTCAAATATGATGGCATCCTTGCATGGTTAATACTGCTGCTTGCAACTAACACATTCTATTTATTCCACATACAAACAAGCAGTGTTTGGGGGTTTCAAAGAGAGTTCATGTGTTCTTTACCTTGTAGCAAACATTGCTCTCAGAGAAGAGAAGGTAGCAGCATCTTCTTTTAAAGCCTTCAGCTCGTTACGCAGCTTCATCATTGTCTCCGTAACCATAGCTTTCTCATTTTCATACTTGCTTTTTAAGTTGGCAAGGGCTACCTCTGCAGTCTATTGTTTACCAAGAAGAACAAAAATGTACCAGTTAGCTAACCACTTTATGAAGAGTTTCATTAAGAAGTTTTTAATCTCCATTCATATAATGGAGCATTTACTTAGTACTGAAATGTTAAACTTCTAGTCAATTTTTCCTGAACAGATTAAATGAATTGCATATTAGGATATTGGAGACAAAAAGAGAGTTTGTTTCCAACCATGAAGCACCATCCCAAGGCAGTCAGCCTGAGGATATTTAGCTAGTTGTATATATATTCCCAACACTACTTTGTTGAGTCAAATGCTATTGTAAATCATATCAATGCCAACAAAGAGGCAAAAAGCTAAACAGTATAAATTAAGGACTTAATCTCGATTTGCAAGTTATTGGGGCTATAACTACATATAGCTTCTAAACTGCCCCAATTTTCAGAATGGATTACATTTCTCAAACAGTAATATTACAAACAAGATGAGTACAAGTCTATTTCTGAAATAATGTACTATATAATTATTATTTATCTTAACATCTATGCTTTGAGATAAATTTGAATTTACATCACCTTAATTTTAGATTAAATTAATGAAGCATTTGTCATTTTAAGCCCTAGAAACAGCTGATCACAATTATTCTAATCCACCTGTGCTACTATGGTTATCAAAATGACATAATCCAGTTGCCAAAATTTAAAAATGTCTATTTCTACTGGTTTTCCTTCCCTTATTCTGTTTTTTTTTTTAAAGTTCTTATACCATTCTCATCACCAAGCAGTGTTTGAATTGTATGTGCGTGCGTGCATCCGTCTATGTATGTGTATGTATAAAATCTTAAAAAGTATGTCCTTTCTACAATCCCTTTAAAAGACCAGCAAACGTAATTCTTTCAATAGGAAAATAATTTTTACCTTTTATTTTCAGTGAATGCAATGATTATTGATCCATTACACTACATATAACCTAATATGTTTTAGGCTGTCATGATTGAAGCTTGCCCAGAATGCTTTGTCAGTGTACTTACTCCTGATCTTCAACAGCCCACTATTCCAGTTCAGAGAAGATGCCAATAGCGTTACATTATGTAGGAATGTATTCATATATTCCCTGGGCACTAGACTGAAGCCGCTTTCCATTTCTCTTGTCATTTCAGCTAAACTGGAACTCATGAAATGCAAAAGTATGTCAAGGTTTTGACTCCCTGGACCGCTTGGCATCACAAAACTTCAGCCTTAGGCCTGGTCTACACTAGGGGAGGTGTCGATGTAAGATACGCAACTTCAGCTATGGGAATACCATAGCTGAAGTCGAGGTATCTTATTCCGACTTACCTCCCATCCTCACGGCGCGGGATTGACGGCCGCGGCTCCCCCATTGACTCCGCTATCGTCCCTTGCTCTGGTGGAGTTCTGGAGTCGACGGGGAGTGTGTTCAGGGATCGATATATCGCGTCTCGACAAGATGCGATATATCGATCCCTGATAAATCAATCGCTACACGCCGATACGACGGGTAGTCTGGACGTACCCTTAGACTATGTACATGGAGTGAAATCCAGGCCTCACTGATGAATGGGAGTTTTGTCACTGACTTGAATGGAGCCAGAATCTCACCCATGACTGCAGTGTCTAACACATGTGGCAAATGGCAACAAGGGTCATTCTAGCCAAATTTTCTTTAATGCATTTGCTTATGATATAGCTGTGTAAAACCCTGGGTTTCATCTCTGCAAAGCCTGCTCACCTGTTTGTTGGCCTTTAGCACAGTTCTCAGGGTTGCTATCTGTTCTCTCTTGGTGCTTAGCAGGGACTTCAGCTTCAGGATTTCCTCCATGAAAGCTTCCTTGTCTTTGTCCACTACTGGCCCAAGTTCTTGGGTGGCAACACGCTGCCTGGACAACTCGGTTGTTCTGTCCACCGCAGCTTGTAGGTGTTTGATCTGATCGCGAATTATAGCGATCAAGTTGTAAATGTTCATGGGTTCCTTCCGAGGATCTGACACAGGAGATGGGAGGGATGACACTGGAGATGGACTACTGTCACCACTTCCATTCTCTGCCTTTCCTAGGTCTATTGATAGCAGCCCTTTAGAGAGCAGGATCGGTGACCTTCGACCTTTGCCCTCTGGGCTGCTGCGTCCTCCTTTACCCTCTTTGTAATAATCCAGCATCACCCTGTTTGGAGTTTCATTGTTGCACATGCAGACGTGGTGATACAAATTGGCTAGCTCCTCACTGAACGTGACTAGTTCATCTTGGGCTACACTGAGACTGCCCTGTGTTTCTCCAGCAACGTCGCTTACTTTCTTCAGCTCCTTCTCCAGTCTGGCTACCTGTTCTCTATCTTGCCTATTAGATTTTTCTAACAAGGTGATCTTTTCAGTAAGAGCTTGGCTTTCAGTCTCATATCTGTTTTTCTCCTCCTCATATTTAGACTCACACTCTTCATATTTGCCCTTAAGGACTTTAAGCTCTTCTTTTAGGTCACCAATCTCTGCCACGGCCACTTTGTACTTGCATTCTAGGATCTCTGGCCCATTGATGTCAACTTCGTAATAATCTCCATCTTCATGGCTGTCACGCTCCTTCTCATTGTCAAGAGCAGACTGACGTTCCTTGCTGACTTGGAGTTTTTTCATTGCATTAAGGTTCTCTGTGAGCCTGCCAACTTTCTCATGCTGCTCTGAAAGGGCTCCCCGGGTGTTCTCCAGCTGTTTCTGAGACTCTTGGAGTGTAGATAACAAATTAACTTTTTCTCTTTCCATCTGAAATACATAAAGTCAGACATTCATTCTCTGGAAGCAAATATTTGTGCAGCTTTATTCTGTACAATCATATGAGAAAATGGTCAACAGTCAATCAAAGGTCAGACAACTGCAGAAACCTTACACTCTGTGGAAAAGGCAACTCCACTTACATTAAACTCAGTCTCAAAACCTATTGGCACCATTACTAATTTGCATCATAGGGTGGTTCTTATATCCATTAAGGATTTTCAAACAAAAACACTCTTTCCTGTTTTACCTTCCCCTTCCACAGTTTGGGTCCCTTAGTAAAACCATTATCCGTTCAGCCAAAGCTGAGCTGAAACTGGTGTTGTCCTGTAAAGTGCCTAGGAAACAATTGGGCATTGTAAAAATAATAAAAAATAATAAAAATGTGAAGACAGTCAATAGCGGCAGTTTAACATAGCACTATCAACCCCTGATTAGCCCTGTTAGCAACAGAAAAAGATAAGACATCAAACTATTGTCACCCCACAGTGCAGCACAGGGCACTAAACCTTCAGGGAACTCTTGAACTGGTCAAAACTAGTCTTGTGTTTTTCTATAAAAAAAATTCTAAATCAAATTTTTTGAATTTTGTTTATTTTGGTGGGGAAAAACATGGGAGGGGGAGTAAAATGACAGAGGTGAAACCCCTCCCCCCCCACCCCCCCGTCTCACTTAATTTTCTTTCCGGTGAGGAAAGTACAAAAGTGCTACTTTCTTCCATTTAAGTTAAAAAGTGAAAATTTAACTTCCCCTCAAATTTTTATATATTTTCTTTCCCCCACTTTTTGGGGTATTACTATTTTTTTTAAGTGGGCATTTTCTCACAATTCTAAAACAATTTAGGGATTTTCCCTGATATTTCTCAATTTGAAAAAATGAAAAATTTTGTCAAAACCAACATTCCCCCAGCCCCTACCCCGCGTGTTTTTATTAAATCCCATTTTTTAATATCAGAAAATTTTCAGCAAGCTCTAGCCAACTCATGTGTGCCTTGTTTTATAATCTTCAACACTGAGTGGCTTGCTTATAATATAGAAAATGCAAATGACAATTCATGGCATAGACTCTTAAGCAAATTAAAATGGATTTCATTTTCATCAGACTATGAATCGCATTAGACAGGAATTATAGTACATTTAAATATAAAAGTACATTATGACAGGTGAAAAAGCTCCAGTTTTAGTATTTGCAGGAGACCCATCAGACTGTGGGAAACTGAATGAAAAAGATCTTTCAAGAAGACTGAGTTACCCCACAGTAATCTCAGACTGCTAGTGTAACAGAGATTTATTATCTAGGATCTTGACATTTACCTGCACAAGCTGTTGTTTCAACTTCTGGATTTCTGATATATTTAGCTCGCTCAGAAGATCTGAGACCAGGCTTGGGGCTGGAGGGAAGCTGTCATTTTTCTTGGGAGTGGATGTATTATTCTTGCCATTGCTAATTTTGCTGAGGCAGTTCTGTTCAAAGCCATTCATGATTTCATCGTTATTGGGCTCTGTGGTTTCATCGCTGAACTTCAGTCCATCCAAAGAGATGTTCAGGTGGCTGGTGTACATAGAGTCATTGATGTTCATGTAATGAGAGAGCTCCTTACGAAGGTTGTTCTTCTGCTCACGCTCAGTCTTCAGGGTCTCTAAGGCCTCCTCAAGTTGGCGTTCTGAGATCTCTTTCAACCGTATAGCATCTTCCAACTGGCTGTTGAGAAATTCTGTTTCCTCTTCAAGCCTTTTGATTTCATGTTTTAGGCCTTCAAACTCCACCTAGAGAACATATGATAAAATACTGTCACTAAAATGCCTGACTGTAAGAGCTCACAAAGCAATTTCAGAACACTTCACTGATGTCTATTTTATTTAGTTAACTATGGTGGAGGGGGAATAATTTTTAGATTCTGGACTCTAGTTCCTGCACCATGACTATAGACATCATACTTTTAATCTACCTTTGAGAGTGCATGAAATAAACATTTTCTGAGCAAACTGTTAAATGATGTTGATCTACTCCAAATTAATTAGAATAATTATGATTTGCACCATGTTGTAAAGAGGCAGCACTCAACTGTTTCACCTAGCATATAATCCCAACTGTTTGATCAGTAAATCCATGTGCCAAACTTCACACACACTCAACCCTCAACATATTTAAAACCAAAGATTTAAAAGCTGTGAGCCTGATTCACTATATGTAACGCCATTGAAATGGCCTGTTTAAAACTGTTGTGATGCAGTGATGAAGGACCCTATAGTTATAAATGTATGCAAAATGCCTTATTACTATGCACAGACTTAGGACGTCTTCAAATCAAACCTATACTGACAATACGATATGAAATCTGACTATTACCATAGTTTTCTCATCATTGTACAGATGAGAAAACTATCTGTTTGTACACCTCTTTGGATTCCTTGGAAGAGAAAAAAAGAGTAGCAGAAGTACTGTAATATCTTATTTATTTTTGTCAGAGAGGAAAAAGGGATTTTTAAACAGTAATATTCTCCCAGTGCGATATAGCGGAACCAGGACTGACTCATGACTTAAGCCATGCACCCTTTGTGTTAATTCTGCTTTGCAAATGAAGATCTGGAAAACTTGAGGGTTTCTTTTGGTTGTCTCAATGGATTAATTAAAAACTAATAACATTCAGTGGATGGGATTATGGGACGGAGAAAGGCAAAAAAAATCCAAATGTCATTAATAGAAAATGACTTACTTTGGTTCTAAATATACCCATCAAACCGGTATATTTAGGACGTAATTCATATTATTAAAGGATCCAGGACACAAAATGATAACCAGCAATTGCTGGAAACAGCCATCTACCAAACACTGCCTGACAAATTTGGCTGAGGCTCAAAGTCAGCATTAGTGAGTTTAATTGGCTTTGGGTGCAAAGATTTAAATAGCTAGGCAATTTCACTTGCTTCCCCCTACAGGGCCAAAGTGAAATCCTCTGGCCAGATAGGAAAAAGAAAAACAGGAAGGGAGGACAACATTGTTTGTTCTGGTTTCAGAGTAGCAGCCGTGTTAGTCTGTATCCGCAAAAAGAACAGGAGTACTTGTGGCACCTTAGAGGCTAACTGCATGCATCCGATGAAGTAGGGTTACCATACGTCTGGATTTTCTCGGACATGTCTGGCTTTTTGGGCCTCAAATCCCCGTCCGGGAGGAAATCCCAAAAAGCCGGACATGTCCGGGAAAATAGGGCTGGAGGGGTCGTGGGGCTGGCGGTGCTCAGCCAGGGGCCGGAGCTGCTGGGGCCGGCGGCCGGCAGTGCTCGGCGGGGGGCCAGAGCTGCTGGGGCCGGCGGGGGGGGGAGGAGGGAGGGGAGAATGATTAGATATCAGTATATAACTATTTCATCTGTATACAGCTGAGTGACACAATACAAAACAATCCCGATCTAACTACTGTCGGAAACAGTAACACAAGAAAATTCTAAACTCATTACAAATATGTAATTACCTTTCCTGAGAATCTGCAGATGATTAGAACTGTACAATAAAATATTACTTCGTTTTGTAGCATGTGCATCACACAAGTGTCTGACAATGCAGAGCAATTATAGCAGTGTTTACAATATTACAAAAGGGAGTCAGAGAAGACAGAACATTAGGAGAGCAATAGAAGAGCAAGCACCAACATGAAGAACTGTCCAAAAAATCTATTAATTACAGGTGAGACTGGCTGACATATTTTAAAAGGGGATGAAGAATCAGTGCAGCAAGGAGACAACTCCTAATAGCTGATGTAGCAGGGGATCAGCCTCCTACAGAGGAAAGGAGGAAGTGGAAGGACTTAGATGAGACGAACAAAGAACAAGCAGAAGGGAATGACCAAGTGGGGTATAGGCAGAGAAGAGATGAAGGTACTGTCATGAAGAACTTTCAGTACAAGAGGATTGATTTTGTAGTGGACAGAAAGCCAGGAGTAGCCTTTTGAAGGTGGGGAGATGTGGCTGCACATGTGCTAATGGGCACGGAGGCAGATTTTAGCATGATGAGCACACTGGAGCAGCCTGGAGCCATGCTGATGATTTCCATACTTGCCTGGTTTTGCTTGAGGACAGACACTTGTTTCTGAAGGCAGATGTTCTCCTCCTCGAGCTCAGTGTAGTCTTGCAGCAAACGAGCTTCTCTGAATTTATATTCCTTGATGTCATCTCGCAAGCGGGCTCTCTGGGTCTCCACATTCTGATTGAGCTGCGAAAGAAGCACCAGAAATATACGTGTCTATATTAACTAACTATCTAAAGCTATCACTATATGAACAACAATACTTCAATTTTAAATTAAACTGTGCATACATTCTCGTTATTTAATGAGACTAACCTGAACCTATTTTGAGCTGCGAAAGAAGCACATTGACATTCAGCCACAAAGGAGCAGCCAAGTATTTTGCAGCTGTACACTGGATAGAGTGAAGATAATAGCTTTTCAAACAATTACGAAAAAGCTAAAAATAAAAGGAGAGGGGTTGTCTATTATTAATTCAACAATTTAGATTATCGCATCTTGTTTCTGCTATCCTCAATCCAGCAGTGTAGCCAAAATACAACAAAAGTGCTTCATTCTTTTCTAAAGAAAACCAGTACAGAGAGCTACTTTGGATTCTCTTAGCATAATGTTATACTACTGGTTGTTGGAAACCAGATCAACACTGCTTGCAAATTCATCAAAACACTGTGTGCAAATCAGCTGCCTCTTCAACAGAGATACATAGCACAGATGTCAAATAGACATTTACTGAAAGACACAACACAAAGAAAATAGATGTACTGCAGGAGGGATGCCAGGAGCAGAGTCTGTTGTGTTTTCAGGACATATGTGGAGTTGAGTCACCTGGAACTACAAATCCAATAAAGTTAACACTAGCTCTCTCCCACCTCAGGTAGAGATTCAACTGTATAAATTAGTCTATTTTCTTTTAGCAGACAAGAAAACAGTATCCCTAGCACAGTGGGAGGCTAAATTAAAATAGCCTGTTTTAGCTGATTGCTAAGACACTAAAATGCAATTAACAATGCAAATGAGAGGTCATTGCATCCCATATTCCAAGGCATGCATCACAGCTCTACAACAGAACCACTAATGCCTTCCATAGGATGAAGTTTCAAGAGATCATTTGTACTTTAACTACAGCAGTGAAGGAATCAGAGATTTTGAGTCTCAGAGGTTTGCGGGATCCTTTTTCCCCCCCTTTCAATTCATATGCATTTTTCTTTGAGTTCATGGTTTTGGTGCAAAAATGAAATTTGGACTTGGGCTCAACCGATAGATGCATGAGATGTCTAACAACCCTTAGCTGAGTAAAAGTTATAGCTTGTAATGAAAACCCCAAACGAGGCAAATCTGCATAGTTTTGAATCTAAAGTTGCAAGTAGCCCAGTTAATATTTTGTGCTTCTGTAATGCCTTTCGTAAGAGAGTCTAAAAGCACTTTGCAAACATTAATGAATCAAGCTTCACAACACTTTTGCAGCTAATATTCCCCTGCCCCCACCCCCCATTTTACAAAGGAGTATTGGTTAGAACAGACAGACACCCGAGCCGTTGTGAAGCAGAGGGGCATTTTAAATAAATATAGTATTCTAGAGAGCCAAAAGTTATAGGCAGGTATGAATGCATGTCAGAACTCCCTCCCCTGCTCAAGTGTCAGATCCCAGCAGGAACGAAGAATCTGCAGCCAAATAATTCAAGCAATTAAAAATCTAAAATCATAAAAGGCTCCTGGGTCAAACTCATCTCTAGGTCAGATTCATCTCTGAGTTTTATACCTAATTACAAGCCTGTTCTTGTAACCTTTACCCATGTGAAGTACCACTGAAGTCAACGGTACCCCTTATATGAGTGAACAACTCTCCCCACACCATCAAGCTATTCTCAAAATAAGATACTCCGAGGTGTGTTCTCTAAATCCTTAATAATTTTATTTGAAAAACAAGGTTACACTCCTCTTCAGTGCTCTAATTACCCCACCTCTCACAGGAGTTTAAACCAAGTTGTGTGTGTGGAGTAGAGGTGAACTTCAGATTCACAGTTAATAATTGGACAAATTTAGTTTCTTTTGCTGTGTGAGTTTTTCTGTGACAGGCTATGATTTTTTTTAAACTAACATGCTACTTGCAATGGTTCGGTGAATCATCCACGTGAGCAAAATTTCAGCAAACTTTATGGATTGTTCATGAGGCCCACTAATAGCATTCACAGTGTTTGACTGGTCACCTTAGGCCTGGTCCATGCTAACCCCCCCACTTCAAACTAAGATACGCAACTTCAGCTACGTGAATAACGTAGCTGAAGTCGAAGTACCTTAGTTCGAACTTACCGTGGATTCAGATGCGTCAGGCAGGCTCCCCCGTCGACTCCGCGTACTCCTCTCGTGGAGCAGGAATACCGGCGTCGACGGCGAGCACTTCCGGGATCGATCCGGGATCGATTTATTACGCCTAGACAAGACGCGATAAATCGATCCCAGAAGATCGATTGCTTACCGCCGGACCCGGAGGTAAGTATAGACCTACCCTTAGTCACACAGCAGTGCTTCTTCTCGTTGGTTGGATGACCTAAACTTTGCAAACAGGAGGGCCTGGAGAAAGCATTGGAGTGGTTATTTAAGATTGAGGCAGAGAGCATTTTAAGGAGATTCAGATAGAGCAGCAGATGTAAGCGGCCTAAGAAATCATTTTAAAATCTTTTCCTGTCCTGTTCTTCAGGAGAGAGAACATGTACAAGAAGCCCAGATTTTAAAATAGCTTGCTTCCTTCCTGAGCACGGAAGAAAGATATCTAACTCTGATTTATTGGCTGTCTACGGACTGGACATTCCGTTTGTTCCTATCACATTTACACCACACAGCTATATATGTTGCCAGTTGCAGAGGTTATAGCTAGGTCCCTGGCTGTCTCATATAGTTGCTCAACTGCCAAGGCTTGGAAATCTGGGGTCTGCTGTTTATTTCCCCCGTTCCATATATAACACACTGTATTATATCCACCAAGTGCATGAAGTGAATCCACTGGTCTCCATACCAAAGGAAATTACACTGCACTCGTTCACACAATTAATGGCTGTGGCAAATGATTGTTGTCAGTATAGAAGACAACCTAGTGTTAATGCCTATCAGCATGCCAGAGCTCCCTCTCCTACTAAACTAAGAAAATTTTTGTGTAGCAGAGAATATTCCTATCTCATTCTACACAGCAGACGATATTCATCAAATTGAATATATCCTAAAATGGATCTGTTCATTCAAAAGCACACAGACCTTTTCTCTGATCTGTGCATCAACCCTCCTGTTAGAATATTTGTCAGTGCAATTTCTTCCTCTTAATTTCCCCCAGATGAGTTGTTGCAGGGATCCCCATCTTACAGCACAGATATTAGTTAGAGCTATTAGTAGGGTTACCATATTTCAGCAAGCAAAAAAAGAGGATAGGAGCCTCGCCCTAGCCCCGCCCCCGTCCTGCCCTAGCCCCGCCCCTCCCACTTCCCACCCCCCTCAGAATCCCCAACCCTCTCCCCCGCTCCTTGTCCCCTGACTGCCCCCTCCTGGGACCCCTGCCCCTAACTGCCCCCCAGGACTCCACCCCCTCCCTAAGCCTCCCTGCCTCTTGTCCCCTGACTGCCCCCTCCGGAGACCCTCCCCCCATCCTAATTAGCCCCCTAGGATCCTACCCCCTACCTGTACCCTGACTGCTCCAACCCTTATCCACACCCCCACCCCCAGACAGACCCCTGGGACTCCCACGCCCCATCCAACCACTCCCCACCCCCTGACCTCGCCCCCCCGAACTCCCAACCCATCTCTTGACTGCCCCCTCCCGCACCTCCCCACCCCTTCCCCCACCCTCCGC